GTTGCCCAGGGTGGAGTGCAGTAGCACAATCTCAGCTCACTGCAACCTCTGCCTTCCGGGTTTAAGGGATTCTCTCGCCTCAGCCTCCCAAGTAACTGGGATTACAGGCGTGCACCACCACGCCTAGCTAATTTTTGTCCTTTTAGTAGAGACAGGGTCTCACCATGTTGGCCAAGCCAGTCTCAAACTCCTGACCTCAAAAGATCCACCCACCTCGGCCTCCCAAAGTGCTGGGATTACAGGTGTGAGCCACCATCCCTGGCCCTTCTCTGCATTTTCATTCTCCTGTTCCGGTTCCCAGACACTGCTGGAAGGTATGTCAGCGCTGCCCTGCTGAGACAACCCACCTTGCAAAACTTGAGTCCCAGCTGAGATCACCACTTCTAGAAGCCCTGGTGTCACCCAGCCTCACAATGCTGGAAAAGGCCCAGGTTCCCTGCAGAAAGCAAGCACCCATGCTTGCCATGACCCACTGCTCACAGCCCAAGTCCCGGTCAATATCTCCCTCCTTTCCAGGTCCCAGAGCTGAAGAATGAGGGAGCTGCTTGGTGAAGTCCATGAAAGTTGGCAGAACAAGGTGTAGGCTAGCAGAGCTGGTGTTGTTAACATTCAACTCTGTTAAAGACAAATCTGCAGCAAAGTGGAATAAAACCACCTAAGCCACTCACTTTCTGGAGGTCCAGCTTGACTGGAGGCAGGATTTGAAGAGTCCAGTGATATGAAGAGGTGCTTCCTGGTGATACTTTATAAATGCCAGTTCTAGCTGAGTGTGGTGGCTCATGCCTGTAATTGTAGACTTTGGGAGGCCGAGGTGGGAGGATCACTTGAGCCCAGGAGTTTGAGACCAGCCTGGGTAACATAGTGAAACTCCATCTATATGAAAGTTAAAAACTAGCTGGGTATAGTGGCACACGCCTGTGGTTTCAGCTACTCAGGCAGCTGACGCTGAAGGATCACATGAACCCAAGAGTTTGAAGCTGCAGTGAGCCATGATCATGCCCCTTCGCTCCAGTCTGGGCAACAGAGTGACACACTGTCTCAAAAAATAAAATAGGGCTGGGCACAGTGGCTCACGCCTGTAATCCCAGCTGTGGGGAAAAGAAAGAAAGATCAGACTGTTACCGTGTCTATATAGAAAGAAGTAGACATAAGAGACTCCATTTTGTTCTGTATTTGAGATGCTGTTAATCTGTGACCCTACCCCCAACCTTGTCCCTGCAAGAGACATGTGATTCATATGTCTTACTGCTGACCTTCTCCCTGTGATGATCCTATTATCCTGTCACTTCCCTTTTTCTAAGATGGTAAACCTAATTATCAGTAAATACTAAGGGAACTCAGAGACCGGTGCCGGCGTGGGTCCTCTGTATGCTGAGCGCCGGTCCCCTGGGCCCACTTTTTCTTTCTCTATACTTCGTCTCTGTGTTTCATTTCTTTTCTCAAGTCTCTCGTTCCACCTAACGAGAAACGC